GAGCACAGAGCCAGGAACAAGTCCTGAGTATTGCCAGTGTGAGCCAAAAAAACTTTTTAAATAATACATTTTCAAAATAAAGAAAACTACCAGATAAATGAGGATAAGAAAATGAAATAGGAATAAACTCTGAAGACACACTATGTCTCCCTGCAGTTACTTGGCACGGACTCTAAGTGAGGAAGCACCAGGGGAAAGAATTACATCAGAAGGAGGCTGAGAAAGAGTCCAGAAAGATAATCAATAGAGAAAGGGGACTCCTGCAAACAGGCACGAGTCTGCCAGACTTAAAACCCAGAGACTGGGGTGAGAAAAATAGGTGTTTGCCTGTGGCCAACCCTGGTTTGATCCCTGACACTGTACGTGGTTCTCCAGGCACCACCAGGAGTGATCCCAGAGCACAGAGCCACAAGTAAGCCGTGAATACTACCGGGTGTGGCCCCCCCAAAACCCAAAAGAACAAATAAATAAAAAACCAGAGACTTGGGGCTAGAGAGATAGAACAGGAGTAAAGAACTTGCCTTGTGCATGGCTGTCCCTGCTTCAATCCCCAGCATCACATGGTCCTTCATGCCTTGCCAAGAGGCCCCTAAGCACAGCCAGGCCCACGCACCGTGGGATGGCCTAGCCAATCCCCGACTCCACAGGACCCAGCAGCACCACAAACTCAGACCTTTCGATTAAGCCAGCAGCCTTTTTGTCAAGAAAATCCCAGAGGGGGCTTTGGGCCTCCTAAGCACTGCCTGGGACAACCCTCTCCGATGATATATATAACCAGACTCACCTCTTTGAGCTGGAAACCTAATGAATGAGCAGAGGTGGGTCAAAAACACATTCAGATAACGGAAGGACTCAAGACCAAAGAAATGAGGTGAGCTTGCACATGGTCTAGAAAGCTTTGTAAGCAACAATGGAGACCAAGATCAGTTCCTCCAGCAAATGCCCCTGAACTTTCTGCATATCTCCCAACAGTCCAACAGCCAAGCTTACAACCTGTGCCTGACTCTTTCTCCTTTTCTCCTTTTTATAGCAATTAAAACTAGACTTGGGGCTGAAATGATAGCACAGCGGGTAGGGTATTTGCCTTGCACACGGCCAACCTGGGTTCAATTCCCAGCATCCCATAGGGTCCCCCGAGCACCGCCAGGAGTAATTCCTAAGTGCATGAGCCAGGAGTAACCCCTGTGCATCGCTGGATGTGACCCAAAAAAAAGAAAAAAAAAGAACTAGACTCATTGACTTTATGTACTTACTGAATCCACAAAGCAACCCCATCAGGGTGGCTCCATTGTTGGGTCCATGTAACAGATGAGAAAATTGAGGCACAGAAACATTACAAACCATGGTGACAGGCCAGGATTCTAGCCCCCCACATAGGCTTCCATGCTTGTCCCCCACCATTAAAGAAATCACCACATTCGACATGAGAATTTCACAGGACTCCTTTCCCAATGGTTCCATATGGTAGACATGAACCATTTTCAGTGCCTGGAAACATATGTAACTCATGCATTCTCCAGACATTCTGCAAGTTTCTCATCTACATACAAGGTGCTGGCTGCACCACCAGTTGAAGACATGAAGGTGCCCACAGTATGACAGACCTGACAAAATGCACCAAGTCATAGAAAAGGTGAACCCACAGGTCAAGTGGGCAATTGAGGCTAAGATGAAAAAAATTGCCAACCATCCCTCTTGAGCAGCTACAAGGCCCTAGAAGGTTGGAAGTAAAGAAGGGACAATCAAAGAAATTCTCAGGCTGTCCCCCTTAATACTCGCAGCCACAAAGGAAGAGGATAGCAAAAGTATTCATATGGTAGCTACGACATAAGACCACACCAGATTGCATAGGATATAACATAGAATCCAACTAATCTCGATGAACAAAAACATTAACACAGAAGGCTTAACTTGCAACAACAGCTCAGTAAACCCTCACACAATAACTTAATATTTCCATGGTGCAATACAACAACTTTCAAAAATTTTCTTCTACTGAAATATTTTTTTCTTTGTGGGTCACACCTGGTGATGCTCAGGGGTCACTCCCAGCTCTGCACTCAGGAATCATTCCTGGCAGTGCTCAAGGGACAATGTGGCATGCTGGGATTAGAACCATGGTTGCGTGCAAGGAAAACGCCCTACCCATTGTGCTATTGCTCCAGCCCCCTAAAATATTTTTTGATCATTCCATTAACCATTCAGTGGTACCAAGGAATATAAAATAAATTACTGTGGGCCTGCTATGGGGGCAGGTTTGAGGAATGGTTGGAAAATGGAGACAGTGGTGGAGGGAAGGTGACAGTGGTGATGATGATGGGGTTGGTGTTGGCACAGTGAATGCCTGGAGCAAATCATTAATGAACTACTTTGTAAACCACAATATTTAAATAAAGTGAGGGGAAAATTTTTTTAATTAGATTAAAAAAAAACCTGCATTCATTGAGTCTCCCTCCAACCCCACACTGAATCGTAGTATTTCTGAAATTCTCATATTTGACTATAGAAAAAGTTAAGGTCCTAGACATTCAAGGCCCCCATCCTGAACTCTCTGCTTGGTTCTGAACTCACTGCTTGTTAATCAATCTTTTTATTCCCAAATATGAACAAGCAAATAAGAAAAAATAGTCACACTCTGGTCTTTGACTTGTTTGATTGGATTTAGATAACCCAGCAGTGCTCAGAGTTTACTCCTGGCTCTGTGAGCAGGGATCACTCTTGGCGGGGATCAGGGGACCTTATGTGGGGTTGGAATTGAATCTGGGTCGGCAACATACAAGGCTAGTGCCCTACTCACTGTCCAATCTCTCTAACGTTGCTTGCTTTGGCACCTGTGATTTACTTCTGAAACACAGGTCTCCTATTTCAATTCAACTTTACGACCTTCTCAAATACCATCCAAAGCAAGGATGAGACTTTTTTTTTCGGCATCCACAAATTAAATTCCCCCCTGTGTCTGGCACTAATGTATTTTGCTCTTGCAGTTCTTATAGTTATGCATGTATGAGCACATATTAGATGCTCAAAAACCCTTACAAGAACCATGATGAAGTGTGAAAATTCCAAAGGCAATGATCTCGCACTATCATGCACTGTGATTTAATATAACTGTTATAAAACGTTCTTTCTCTTCCTCTCCCAAAACATAAATAATAAAATATACTGATTCATCAGTCTTGTAAATAAGCCCAGTCTCTCCGAAGGAACTACTGGAACATGAATGAAATCATCATTTCACACTGGACAAGATGTTTCTGGAACAGTGTTTAGCACACAGTCAATTCCCGGTATCTGTTTCTGGAAGTGAATTAAAACGATCAGCTTTTTCCTCACACCTACCAGATACCACATCAGGTGCCACATTTCTAACCCCAAAAAAGCATATATGAAGAATTGGAAGAGCGGCCCAGGTCAAACGTAGAGAAACAGATCTTACTTCATAAGTAACGCTAAAGTACTTTCCTCTCCTGATGTTCCCAAGCTGTCAAGGTTAGGATCCTTATCCTTCTCTACCGTCCAGAGCTGTTAGCGGGAAGCCATTCAACACTGAACACAAATTCTAAAAATGACATTATCAAATATGATCTGGATAAGAGAACATCATGACACAAACAGCCACTGTAAATCACATGATCACAATACGGTAAGTATTAAAAATACAAACGTTTCATTCCACACTACCTGGACCTTTCAGAAAGGAAATAAAAGAATGGCCAAATAAGTGAGATGTTCATCCCATAAATGAATGAATAAATGAATGTTCAATGTGGGGTTGGAGGGAGACTCAATGAATGCAGTTTTTTTAATCTAATTTAAAAAAGTGTTCCCTCACTTTATTTAAATATTGTGGTTTACAAAGTAGTTGACTGATTGTTCATAAATGAATCTGGAATAAAAGACAAATGAAATATCACAGGGAGGATACTAACTCAGGGACACGCCAAAACAGACTTTGAAGGCAGATAAAATCTCAACAGGGAATAAAGAATACTTTAGAAATGTGTTGCTTTTTTGGGGGTGGGGGTCATCCCCCCCAAGTAATACTCTGGAAACTATGAATAAAAAGGTGTTAGACGGTGGTGAAGCCTGTCTTCGTCCTATTATCCAAATACCTCCTGGTGGGACTGGGACCTACCGGGTGACACATGAGCTCTAAAGTGAGCGGATAAAAATAACCCGGTCCTCAAAGAGACATGATAAACGCCAGACAGCTGAGTCACTTTGAAGCCCATTTTGACTCTTGAAAGGGGCATTCTCTCTCCTTTACACACACACACACACACACACACACCTGGGTAAAACCACCAGACACCACACACAACTTCCCCGGGCGGGCGGTCGGAAGGCGGGACCCTGCAAACTTCCCCCTTGAGCCTGAGGTCACGACTTCTGATTGAACTTTGAATAATTGATATGGCTTTCAAGTCCCCGGTTTCTGGGAGCAAGGAGAAAAGGCTTGGGAAACCCCCGAGAGTCCCGAAGAGACCCCATCCCTGCAGCCCTCCAGGAGACATCCAAAGGGTCTGTCCTCCTTGGAGGAGCTAGAGGAACGCCAGGGGGGTGGGGGGCAGCGACAGTCCCAGACGGAGAGGAGTGTGTGTGTATCTGTGTGTGTCTGTGTGTGTGTGCGCGCGTGTCGTGTGTACCCAGGAGGATTCAATCCCTGTGTGTATCTGTGTGTGTGTGTCTGTCTCTGTGTGTGTGTGCGTGTGTGTGTGTGTGCGCGCGCGCGCGCGTGTCGTGTGTACCCAGGAGGGGTCAATCCCGTCCGTTCTCACCCCAGGGCGGAGGATGCCTGGGGCACCTGCCAGGGGCAGCTCCGGGGAGGGCAGAGCGGCCCGGAGCCCCGCCGGGCACGCGGGGGCGGCTGCGGGTGGGCAGCGACCGGCGCGCTCCGAGTGCTGCCGAGCCGGGTGGGCGGCTGGGGGGTCCCGGCGGCGCCCGCTCGCCCCCTCGGGCTCGCGCCCGCCCCCCGGCCCCCGCCCCCCGCGAGTCCTCACCGGGGAGTCGTAGGAGAAGGCGCACTCGCTCTTGTAGACGCGGTCCCCGGAGCGCGGCACGCGGATGCGCGGCAGGTGCGGCAGCAGCAGCTCGCCCAGGTCGCCCGCAGCCATGTCCGCGGCCCCGGCGCTGCCCGGCGCTGCCCGGCCGCGCTGCCCACGACGCGCCGGCCGGGGGGGACGCGGCTATTCTTAGGCCAATGGCGCAGCGCCGGCCCCGCGGCGGCGCGGGCGGGGCGCGGGGCGCGGGGCGCGGGCGCGCGGCGGGGGTCCGGGCGCCGCCCCGAGCCGCCTCCCACACAAAGGCGGGGGGCGGACGGCGATGGGCGGGACGGAGCCCGGGGGCGGCGGCCGCGCGGGCCGCTCGGGGCCCCCAGGGCCGGCGCTTCCCTTTGGCCTAAGAGCGACGCTCGGCCCAGGAGCGCAGCATCGCCTCCCGCCACGAGCGACGCTTATCTGGGGAAGGGCATCCGGAGGGGTCTGACATCTGGGGGGCGGGGGCGTCTGCGGGGCGGGGGGCGGAGGGCGGGCCCGATGTTTTCCGCGCCCGGGAGAGCCGGTCGGATGTGGGGGCCTGGTGTGCTCGCGCTCCTCTCTGGCCCGCTCTTCGAGCCTGCTCCAAATCGTGAACCGGGTTGGGGTGGAGACTGAATGAGGAAGAAAGGGAGGGAGGGAGGGAGGGAAGGAGGGAGGGAAAATCAAGGAAGGAATTGATGGAAATAGAAAATCAAAGCAAAAAAATTTAAAAAAGGAAGGAAGGAGATTGAAATAGAAATCAAAGCAAAAAACGGAAGGAAGGAAGGAAGGAAGGAAGGAAGGAAGGAAGGAAGGAAGGAAGGAAGGAAGGAATTGATCGAAAGGGAAAATCAAAGCAAAAAATTTTAAAAAGGAAGGAAGGAGATTGAAATACAAGATCAAAACAAAAAAAGGAAGGAAGGAAGGAAGGAAGGTAGGTAGGTTAAGGAAGGAAGGAATTGATCGAAAGAGAAAATCAAAGCAAAAAATTTTTAAAAGGAAGGAAGGAGATTGAAATACAAGATCAAAACAAAAAAAGGAAGGAAGGAAGGAAGGAAGGGCAAAAAATTAAAGAAGGAATTAATGGAAATAGGAAATCAAAGCAAAAAATTTTAGAAGGAAGGAAGGAGATCGAAATAGAAGATCAAAGCAAAAAAAAGAAGGAAGAAAGGAAGGAAGGGAGGGAAAAATAGGGAAGGAATTGATCAAAATAGAAAATCAAAGCAAAAAATTTAAAGAAGGAAGGAAGGAGATTGAAATAGAAGATCAAAGCAAAAAACGGAAGGAAGGAAGGAAGGAAGGAAGGAAGGAAGGAAGGAAGGAGGAAGGAAGGAAGGAGGAAGGAAGGAAGGGAGGAAGGAAGGAAGGAAGGAAGGAGGAAAGAAGGAAGGAAGGAAGGAAGGAAGGAAGGAGGAAAGAAGGAAGGAAGGAAGGAAGGAAGGAAGGTTAAGGAAGGAAGGAATTGATCGAAAGAGAAAATCAAAGCAAAAAATTTTTAAAAGGAAGGAAGGAGATTGAAATACAAGATCAAAACAAAAAAAGGAAGGAAGGAAGGAAGGAAGGGCAAAAAATTAAAGAAGGAATTAATGGAAATAGGAAATCAAAGCAAAAAATTTTAGAAGGAAGGAAGGAGATCGAAATAGAAGATCAAAGCAAAAAAAAGGAAGAAAGGAAGGAAGGGAGGGAATAATAGGGAAGGAATGGATCAAAATAGAAAATCAAAGCAAAAAATTTAAAGAAGGAAGGAAGGAGATTGAAATAGAAGATCAAAGCAAAAAACGAAAGGAAGAAGAAGGAAGGAAGGAAGGAAGGAAGGAAGGAAGGAAGGAAGGAATTGATAGAAAATCAGAGCAAAAAATTTAACATCACTGCAGACTTCATCATTAGCCAGGCACTCGCAAGGAGTTTTCCTGGGTTGTGGTATTTACTACTTGGGGTTTTGGTTTATTTTTTACATTACTCTGGTCTTTGGGCTGGAGCAATGATAGCATAGCAGGCAGGGCATTTGCCTTGCTCGTGACAGACCCACGTTTGATTCCTCTGTCCCTCTTCGAGAGACCAGCAAGCTACTAGAGTATCTCGCCGGCACAGCAGAGTCTGGCAAGCTTCCCGTGGTGTATTTGATATGCCAAAAACAGTAACAAGTCACAATGGAGACGTTACTGGTGCTTGCTGAGCAAATTGATGAACAAGGGGAGGACGGTGCTACTCTGGTCTTTGGTTGCTTGGTTTTGGTTTGGGGACCACACTCAACTATGCTCATGGCTTACTTCTGGCTTTGCCCTCAGGGATCACTCCTGGCTGTGCTTCAGGGATCATGTCATGGCAGGGATCAAACTAGGGTCGGCTATGTAAAAGTTCTTTCCCACTGTACTACCTCTCCAGCCCTGACTTTCTTTTCATGAGAGATCATGGTTTACATTATGGCTAATAGTAGGGTTTCAAGCATACCATAACACCCTCCACCAGCATATCCAATTCCCTCCACCATTGTCTCAGGGTTCCTCGACCTTAGAGACCACCCCCTTCTCATCTCACCATGGTAAACTCTGTTCTGTAGAACAGTTCTCAGATTATTTTGCCTTGAACTATTAGTTACTTACTATATTTCTTTATATCACACATACGAGAAAGACAATCCTATATTTTCCCCCCACTTTCTGACTCACTTCACTCGGCATGATATTCTTCAGACCCATGCATGTAACAGAAAGTTGCATGATTTCATATTACCTTATGGCCAAGTACTATTCCATTGTATATATATCCCACATGTTCTTTATCTAGTCACTTATTCTTGAACATAGGTTGACTAATACTGTAATGAACATAGGGGTGCCAATGTTGTTTGGGCATAGAGATTTGGTACCTCTGAGGTAGATGCCCAGAATTGGAGTTGCTGGATCATGTCAAAGGTTCACTGTATCACTGTCATCCCATTGTTCATCAATTTACTCGAGTGGGTGCCAGTAACATCTCTATCTGTCCCAGCCCTGAGATTTTAGCAGCCTCTCCTTACTCAAAGGTGAATTCTTACTTTTTAAATAACTGTTTATGTTGTTTTCCCAACAGGTGAGCCAGTTGACATTCCCACCAGCAGTGAATGAGGGTTCTTTTTTTTTTCCTGGATGTTCTTTTGAAGTATACCAGTCTCACTGGGACTGTAGGAGATATCTCATTCTTGTTTTGATTTGTATTTTCTTGATGATAAGTGATGCCGAATACACACACATACACACACACAGACACACACATCTTCTTTGACTTTCTGTTCATCTCTTCCCCATTATTTGTTGGTTGTTTTATTTTCTTTTAAATTTTAAATTTTACTAGCACTTTATATTACTTGGATAGCAACCCTTTGTTAGGTGAGTGGTGGACAAATATTTTCTTTCAGCCTGTGAGGTGTCTTTTTGTTCTGGTCATTTCTTTTGCAGTGCAGAAGCTTCTTGATTTGATTCAGTTCCATTTGTTTGTCTTTGCTTCTATGTCTTTGGCTAATGGCATCAATTGGTGCCGATGCCTATAGATTCAATGTCAGGAAGGAGTCTGCCTATATTTCTTCAACATAATTTATGCATTTGGGTGTGATATCAAAGTCCTTAGCCCATTCTGAATTGATTTGTGTGTGTTTTGTGAGATATGGGTCTGAGTTCATTTTCTAACGTGTGATTGATCAGTTTTTACAACACCATTTGGAAGGAAAAAGCTTTTCTTCCTCCACTTCATACTCTTGGCTTCTTTAGTTGAAGATTAGCTGTCTACAACCCTGAGAATTCTTAAAGAGGTTTTGCACTGTATTCATTCACACCTTCTAGTATTTTCTGTGACTTTCTGATTCATGGTCTAGACTTTCTTGTCCCACTATAGTGGAGGAAAAGCATTTTATAGAAGGGGGAAACACTTTGATTCAAAAGAGTTCAAGAAGACAGAGAGAGATAGTACAGCAGATAAGAAACTTGCCTTGCATGTAGCCAACCTGGGTTCGATCCCTGACATCCCACATGGATCTCCTGAGCACTGCAGGAGTGATTCCTGAGTGCAGAGCCAGGAGTAATCACTGAGCATCACAAGGCATGGCCAAAAACAAACAGAGTTCAGACAGAAAGTTAATATTTCAGATGAAATTTAAATTAAGACTTTTCCCCTTTCAGTCGGGTAAATATATATTGAGTTTCAGTAGATTTGGGAAATAGACTTTCATCCACATTGTTGGTGGTGATGAAAAGGGAAAACCCCTTCCGGGGAGATGTCTCAAGTGGGGGGGCATCTGTGCAGCAGGTGGAAGGCCCTGGGCTTGATCCCCTTGTCTGCAGGCTCCTCCCCGCACTGCAATGGAGGATATTCCCCCACTTAAGAAGGACACATCTCTGGTAGGAAAATCAAGAAGACAGATCTCCATTTTATAAGCATAAACTATTTTGCCAACATTTCCTTACCTAGAAATTTTGGCTAAAGATAAATTTGCAGTAATATTTGTTGGAACATCATTTATAATAGCAATTTTTTTTTTGCTTTGCTCAGGGAGTTAGTCCTGGTTCTGCACTCAGAAATCACTCCTGGTGGTGCTCGGGCGGGGGGGACCATATGGGATGCTGGGAATCGAACCTGGGTTTGCCACATGCAAGGCAAACGCCCCACCCATTGTACTATCCCTCCAGCCCCCTATAATAGCATCTTCAGTGCTATTATAGTTTTCCATTTCTGAAGCTAGAGCTTTTTGTTAATAATAATAAAAAGCTCTAGCTTCGGAGATGATAAACTATAATAACATTGTAACAAATGAAATGCTCTGTGTATGATGTAGTAAAACAGTGTCCAAATCCTAATTCTAGATGAAGAAAGCACTGTACGAGTCAGTGTGGGGAACCCAGATATTCCTGCCAGATGGATGAAATGCAGCCACCACTCTGGCTCATCCTGGATACTGCCAGCCCTCTTTTCAGCTCCTTCTACCTTGGTTAGCTATGTTAATGTCATATAAAACTGGCCTTAAGGTACCTCCAGTCTAGAGGCTGGAGTGATAGTACAGCAGGTAGGGCGTTTGCCTTGCACGCGGCCGACCCATGTTCGATTCCCAGCATCCCATATGGTCCCCTG